CAGGCTCACCAGGATTACGTGCACATATGCTGACCTCATTATTGAAACCATGCATTCAATGCTGCAATACAGCATAAAGTTAACCATAACTGTGCAAATTAAACAGACAGTTATGGTGCTGGAACATTTGCAGTATTATCACGCGTGTTACTACTAATAAATCATTAAATTCATTAATTGACTAATAAAAATATCAGGTATTGTTAACACCAGAAAATCGGAACACTGCAAAAATTTAGAAAAGTGACCGTTATGCAACTCTTTACTTATCAGCACACTCAACTCTCAATAATTTCCAAAAATATTCAGAGAGCCCAAAGATGTTACTTGGAGAAAAATGACTGTGGTTGCAGTTCATAGGGCTCTAGTCAGTTGTTTTGTAGGCTTAAATACCTCACAGCTTATTCAGTTTGAGCAATGAACTCCCAAAAGAGTGTGCTTTGGAGTGGCACCGTTCCTATTTGGTGAGTAATGTTGCCGTTTTGGATGTGTTTGACCATCCAACATTCAATTTACACCAGAATGCTCTGATGGGTATCTGGGATTTCAAGTTGGCCTGGGAGCAATTGGAGAATATTGCTGAGGAAAAGGATCTGTGGGCTGCCCTGCTCAAGCCTCTGCCAGTGACCTCAATCAGAAAAAGCAATTTAAAGAAATGGATGGACTTTTAAGACCTAAACAAATTGTCAAGAATTAAAAGGAGTGGGGCGCTCTCTCCAAGCACATCAATGCAGCAATCCCACTGGGAACACTGCCAGCACTCGTCTTCAGCGCATCAATACAAGATCAATGGTTAATCTATCACATATTAGTCAGGTCTACTATAGACCATTACAAATGTGTTGTGCTGCAGACAAATGGGTTATTTATCTCCAGGGCTTGCTAAGGTGGAGAAGAAAAGGAGCCAGGAATGTGGACAGTAACAAAACAATCTAATCTGCTTTAAATTAGAGGTGGATTTAAAAAGTGTGTCAGTAAACCACAGCGGAAACCGCAAACACGCCACATTTTAGACGAGAAAAGCTTTCATAGAATAACAGTTTGAAATTCAGCCAAAAACAGAACATACCATATTGATAACACTGTACTCCGAGCAAGCGCCATCCAAGTGTGCTGGCAGTCCTTGAGAGTTTTTATCAACAGCCATTTCTCCAAATGAGATTTAGTGTCTGCATTGTAATTGTTCTCAACATTACAGATTGTGCCACAGAAGAATCACTTACAGAGCTGAAAGCCTGATGACTTAACTGCAGTAGGAGGCAGCAGATTAAGAGCAATGTTTCATGCTTCTAATTCGTCCACTCAGATCATTTGCGACGGTTTGTATTTTCATAGACAAGATTTAGCTTCTCCAGAGCTTCTTCATTCTTATTCCTGTCCGTTTAACCGACTTGAATAATCTTGACAAACAGAAGACGGGGGCTGGAGTCGATGCGGGGAAATTGATCCGAGTCTGTCCGCTAAACACAAACACTGGAAGACCTCATGAGTGTCGCATAAAAGGCATTAACATCCATTTTCCTGGCTCAGCAATGCAACTGTAAACTGCATCGATTTGACCTTGGGCAAAAACCAATAGAAGTAGCACGATAAAATGATGTGCAATTAATCAAGCTGTACAATAATCAATGGCAGGTGGTTATTAAGACTTACTGCTGTGATAGGTCCTAGACAGCGGTAGGGCAAGTCTCAGACTGTGCTGGTTTTTATTCTAATCTAATACAGGCTGATTTACAGCAGGGACATCTAATTCACTTATCCTGAAGATAGTTTCAAAAAATACTTATCAATTACAAAAGGACAGAAAATATAAAGCTGAGTCTAGGAGCCAGTTAGCTTAGCATTAGGAATGGAAACACAAGGAACCAGGTAACTTGTCCGTAGCCCCTCTGAAGCTTGCAAAGGCAAAACTTTTTAGATAACAACATACAAATTTTGCACATTAAATAAATGCAACCTAATGTACAGCCCCTTTGTCTAAACCAAGACGTCCAAGGTTCTTTTAAGACAGCTCTCTTCTGATTGGCTCCTTCCTACAAACAGAGGGTTTGTGCATGAGATGTGAGGATATGAGGAACATCTGCTCTCGCTGACTTACAGAGTCAAGGGCAGTGTTAGGTAAAGTAATGCATTAGATTACCCTCCAGCTAAACTAAGCAACACACGTTAGTATAGCATTTGAAGTAATCAGTTATTTACTTTGTTTTTCCAACCTGTAACTCGTCAATATCTTTCCGGATTTCCCTTAATTAGTTTATTTTTGCTGTGACAAAAAGAAAACATTTCTGTTTTCCTCAGATTCCTTTGCAGCTGCTGCAGCACACCATTAAAAAGTATCAGACTTTCAATGTTTACTAAAGTATCGGTCAGCTGCTAAAAAGCTCTATTGCACATTTTAAAGGAACATCTGCAAGCTGACTGGTAAATTGAGCTCCACAGTGTACTGGTGGTGAGGCCCACTGAGGAGGAGAATGGTTAGTATTAGCAGTTTTCCCAGACCTCTTTTGTCTGAACTCTGATGACTTAAGTGATTCTTTCCTTGATGGTTTTACTTTCTGATCACAAAGCTCTCAATAAAAGTAAGACATCCGTTTATTTCCCATTGAATGAACATTAATTCAAAATCAAAGAATCTGTTTTACCTCTTGCCACTCAAGAACACCAGTCCAGGCCACTACTTTATTGGTGACACCTTGTCCTTGTGGAATTGGGTTTGGATTGACTTGACTTCCAGGCTGTAAGGAAATTAGAGGACGCTATCAATACAACACTTTTCCAGGAATAAAGAATTACTTC